AGATTAAAAAATTGAAAACATGAAATTGCAAGAAGTCTGGCAAGCAGGAAGCTCAAAATCCCGAAGAGTGGTTAAACATGAATGCAGACGCTTGCCATACACTGTCAGATGGGGTGTGAAGGCAGACAGAGATGGCCGCATTACAATCATATCAGTGGAAAGTTAAATGGAAAATAGTCACAAAACCGTGCGGGCATGACACTGCATTCTTAGATCCGGTTCAACTACCGATTTGTTTCAGAAAAAACTAATGAAGGAGCTGGAGTGTAGGGAAGGGAATCACCTGCAACTTGGGACCCTTGATGTGAAAAAGGAAAGTGATCTCTACGGCACTGAGGATCTACAAATTGGTGGCCTTGGTAGGAAGCGGATTTCGTGACTTTAAAAATGTTTAAGTCTTAGTACAATATAAATATTTGCAGAGGGTTGTAATTCTGTCAGGGAATGCTTAAAAAAGAGGCCATGTTTTATAGGGAACATAGAGATTCCACAATCCGATGGAAAGAGAAACCGGTTGATCGGAAAACAACTAACCTAGAAGCCTATAGACCATTAAAAATTGTATCGAAAAGGAATACTGCGCAGGTTGCTGCCTAAAGCAAAATAGTTTTTGGAAATATGGGGGTCTACTGAAGTGATAGGGAGCCGGATCTTGTAACATCTTACAAAAACTGGTACGCAAGAACTTAGTAAGTATGAAGAACGTAAAGGGCTCGACCATTTGGTAAGAGAACTAATCAACATGGAGTTCCCAGAAAGGATAATAGAGGTGATAAAGAGGACATTCATTAAGGATAATTTGTTTTTAAGTAAAGTTCAAGATTTCAATAAGCTCAGGGATGGCAACTATGAATGGAGTTACCATTTTCTATGACGAAGAGATGAAGATTCCAATATCAAATTATGCAAAATTAAGACTGCAGCATCTTGAAACCAGTTCAGCAAAGTCAAGGATTTGCTTAAGAATATGCAGCCTTTTATGGCAAAATCAAATGCAATGGATTACGTTGCACAAGGGACTGATTCAGAGATAAGCAGAAATGACGGAAAAGTAGGTTATATTCCTCACCATGGAGTATACCACCCAAGAAAAGCGAAGTTGAGAGTGTACTTTGATTTGCTCACTGAGTAACTTAGATTCGTCATTGAATGATGCCTTTACTTTCACGGTCGAAATCTAGCTACCAAGTCTTCACAGCATGTTACTCAGATTTAGAAAGGAACCTGTAGCCATCATGGTGACCCCCAAATGAGTCCTATGTTGTATCAAGTTGAAGTTCCTGAGAAGCATAAGGATTTCTTACGTTTCTATTGTGGGGCCAAAGGTGATCCGAACATGACCCTAAAGTTGTTTAGATGACTGTAACATTGGTTTGGTGCAATTCTAGCCCAGCATGTGCTAATATGGATTTGATACAAGTCAATAATATACAGTCAGGGACTTTGTGCTGATGAGGTAAATGAATGTATGAGTGAATACTTTCTATGTTGATGATTGCCTTTGAAATCTGTACCAATGCCAAGGAATCTATTGATATGATCATGATTTAAAAGATTTATGCAAAAGGGGAGGATTTATCTAGAGACTGCAATCAGTAACAGAAGGATGTAACTGGAATTATTCCAGTAGAAGATCGCATACATCAAATGGACACATTGGGGGGTCTAGATAACAGACAGGTTTCCACGTGGATGGAATTTTGGAGGGTCCTCAGACTGAAAGGAGGCCAGAGTATATTTTATGAGCACCAAGACATGTACCAACATTCAAGACCCTATGGTAAAGGTCTGCAGCTGTGAGGAAACAGACCCCTTTGAAGTCAGAGCTCTGCCTCAACCAGGAATCCTTTTGAGTCCTTTTGTCAACCTGCTGGACGTTCTGATCGGAGAACTTCCACCACTTTAGCTACCCTTGACATTATAATGCCGACGGATGTCATGATTTGCATGGCCACACAGAGGAACTGAACCCAATGTTAGAGGGTTGAGAGTGAAAGTTAAGGAATGGAGACTCAGGATCAGCAGAACTGAAGACGAATGCATGAAATGGCCACTTCGGAGAGGAGTGATAGAGCAGGAGGTGGATTTGGAACAGACTTTAGGTCTCAGAGAGACTGATATCTTCACGTCCTAGGGTCTATGGTGCAAGCATGATGGCGGGATGGAAGCAGAGATTACAATAGATACAAAGAGTGGATGGAGGGAATTGAGAAGTGGTGTTGGAGAATGACAGTTAAGAGAATGAGATGGGCTAAGAGAAGGATCTACCTAGTGTAGAAGACCCCGCACTCACTAGGGAGCAGAGGACCTGGGCAACCACGCAAGAGAGAAGGGAGGAGCGCCTGGATTTGAACGAAATGGAATGCTGCGATGGACTCGCGGGGTGACAATAAGGGACAGAGTGTCTAACCGCCACTTTAGAGAATCTCTACACGTCACGAGGTGGCCAGGAAGTGAAAGTAGGAGATTAGTTTTGGGTTTGGACATGTCCCGAGCAAAGAGTAGGATGAGCAATGCCTGAAGTGTGTGTCAAGCAGGAAAGAGGTTGCCCCGGAGAAAGGGATGGAGGACCAAGGATGAGATGGAAGGATTTGTGTGAAGCTGGGATATGAGGGAAGCGGATTGACAGAGAGATGGTCCAGGATAGAAACAACTAGAGGCGTCATTTTAGGGACCATTTCAGCGACCCGTATGGTCGGGAAAGGCTTGTAGAGCTTGTAGATATGCAGAATTTGAGGAAAATGGAGAGGAATGTTCCCTGTGCGACCCTTTGTACAGAAGGGGACTGATGTGGAGGGCCCATGCCTGATGGGGATCAAAGGAGTATGGAAATGGATAAAACCATAGATTCCCTGGAGAATGCTAAGGTTCCAGAATGTTCAAGGAAATTGGGCAAGCTGAGGTGCTATGTACAATTTCATTGTTTGCCGATGCAAGCTTAGGTGGGTATGGCGTTGATGCCGGTGCTATATGGCCGTACTCAATACTCTGAGCAGAGCATCGATGTGCCATGTGGTAAGAGCACGTGGCGGGGTCCTCATGTGTAGGAAATCGTGTCCTCATGTATTGAGGAAAATAACGGTCCTCGTGTTTAGGAAAATAACAGGTCCTCATGTGTTGAGGAAATAAACGGTCCTCATGTGATGAGGAAAATAACGGTCCTCAAGTATTGGAGGAAAATACGGTCCTCATTGATGAGGAAAATACGGGTCCTCCATGTGATGAGGAAAATAACGGTCCTCATGTATTGAGGAAAATAACGGGTCCTCATGTGATTAGGAGATAACGGGTCCTCATGTGAGAGAATAACGGGTTCCACATGGTATTGAGAAAATAACGGGTCCTCATGTGATGAGGAAATACGGGTCCTCATGTGATGAAAACTAACGGGTCCTCATGTGAATGACTGAAAATAACGGGGTCCTCAATGTGATAGGAAAAATAAACGGGTCCTCATGTATGTAGTGAAAATAACGGGTCATCATGTGATGAGAAAATACGGGTCCTCATGTAATTGAGGAAAATAACGGGTCCTCGTGTTGGGAAAAATACGGCCTCATGGAGTGAGGAAAATAACGGTGTCCTCCTGTATTGAGGAAAATAACAGGTCCTCATGTGATTGAGAAAATACGGGTCCTCGTGTTGAGGAAAAATAACGATCCTCATTATTGGAGGAAAATAACGGGTCCTCATGTGTGAGGAAAATAACGGGTCCTCATGTGATGAGGAAAATAATGGGGTCCTCATGTATTGGAGGAAAATAACGGGTCCTCATGTGATGAGGAAATATGTCTAATTATGAATCAACAAATTTTCTGCTAATTTTGAGCAATCCAGAGAAATCTGTGTTCATGCATGTCTGGCCTTGCTCGTGATAGAGTCTCTGTTCTGTTTTCTGCAGTATCCTTGCTGTTGCGTTGGCTAGTCCCGAGAACAGATGCGATGCAGGGTCCTGCCAGATTCTTCCCTGAGGTGTGGGGGGGCATTCCCTGTGTGGATGGGATGACGTTATGGACAGATGTGTCCTGAAACGGGGTTGTCAATCATGACTGGATGTCCACGGCACTGCCGTGGAATCACTTGCAAAAGGGTGACTGCATCGGTAGTCAGAGGATCCTTCTTACTATTGAACATTCCTGGTGCATAGTGAGCTGTTTGATAAACGTTTAGATACGGGAGGGTGGAGCCATGTTTGCAGTCGGCACCTAGTGACCCCTTTTGGAAAAACACTATAGATGAAAACACATACACATTTGGCAGTACAGAAACGTTGTTACCAAGTGTTAAGGCTACTGTTTTTTTGGTTGCTGTCCTTTGCCTGAGAGATTTCTTGTATTCTGATCCTTGGTATATATATGGTGAAACCTAAACGCCATAACTGGTATGTGGCTGGAGGGTCCTGGAGAGGTTTTTTAATCTCGGCGGCCAAAAGTTTCTGGGATGGAGTTCAATTTTTGTATACAAGAGTTGCATTCTCTCCCCTGTGACTGGGGCGTGGATTTTTTCCCTTGTTCCGCCAGCACAAAAGATGAGGATCATTGTATAACTGTCATTAATGGCGTGGGAGATCTGATGTAGGTTTGCCCCTGTTGTTACTGATACGGACCATGAAGAAAAGGCAAAGGGATATGAGAAAATAATAGAATTCAAGCTGTGGCTTTTGCATCTGTGATAACAATTCTCTGTCTAACTCGTTTCGGAAGTAGTTATGAGGAAGATAAGAAAAGCCTCTCGGGGGTGGCGGTTCTATGCCAAAACTGGACTATACCGTTCCCATGCCGTGCAAAGGTTTTTGTGTTGTTTGAGACACTCCGTGCTCAATCAATGGGGGGGGGTGTAGGGCCGCTGTTATCACATCGCATGGACGTGACCAGCTGGCATCAGCATCACGTGTATAACATCTGTAGCCACTGCCATCAACCATCGGCATGGCGTAGCTGATGCTTCAGCATCACGCGTATATCATCCCCTCTAGGACTTGGTTGGACGGTTTCCTCATGGGTAGCGATAAGGATAATGCCATGGCCGTGTTCCTCCATGTGTTCGTATGTGCTGAATTAGGCCTTGTCTCTAGTGTTGACGTATAAATGAAGGAAGGGCGTCTCACGAAGGGGGGCCATCACAGGTTATAGAACAGTTTGAGAGTGAATACTGGCTCGACAACACGTACATAAGGACCGATCTGTGGACTTCTGTTAAAGGCCTTGACTGTTCCCGCTATGCGTATGTATCATACACATTCATGTATAGATATACATTAGTGTCAGTGTATGTTGTTGCTTACCTAAAGCAGTAAGGTATAATGACATTCTTAGTAAACAGTGAAATGTATGTATGTATTATAAGTACTGATATGATCTTGTTAGTGAATCTAAGTCGAATTGTAACAGCAATTATGATTATTATTGCATGATTGATATTGTATTGATTATGTATTGATTGCAGGTTTGACCGCATTCAAATAAATTGAGAAGCGAGTACGACGCAGTGGTATCAGTCACCTCGAGTTAACGCAAATAATCTAAGCGTGTGAAATGGCGCTTACAGTCAAACGCAGAGGGAGATCGTTGCTGTTACGATGCCGTGACGATAAAGAGACGGACGGAACTGAACTGCGGTAAGTCTACGGAAGTGCACGGTGTTTGACGGGCGATTATTATGTGACAGAAACATCATAGCTGTGTACGAGTGTACGGATCGAACATATGATCAAGTTTTGAGGAACGCTGAGGGAGATCATTGCTGTTACGTTGCCGTGACGATAAAGAGACGGGCGGAAGGAGTGAACTGCGGAAAGCCTACGGAAGTGACACGGTGTTTGACGGGCGATTATTGTGAGGCAGAAACATTATAGCTATGAAAGAGTTTACGGATCGAACATATGACCAAGCCTACTTGTGATTAGTTTTCGGAGAAAAGTAACAAAGTTTTTGAGGATGGCTATTTATGATTAGCGAATCGGGAAACTGTTTCTGCACGCTAAGGGAGTGAAATGCTTGAAATTGATGCAATATGTCATGGAGGAAGTTTCTTGTTAGTGACATTAGCGACCTTGGCCCTCGTGCACGCAAGTGCCCGTGTTTAGGAGAAAGGTGAAATAGGTAAACTGAATGAATGAAAAATAACCTATAATTCGGAGCTGAATCAAAGAAACGGAGTAGTTGGGAAGAAACAACACTGGCTTCCCGCCCATTACATGTTATTATTTGGATGTTAAAGGTGATGCAAAAGGTAACTAACTCTGGAGGACATAGCAAACCTCAAGAATTAATCGGTAATACTTCTCACAGAGACTTTTCGATGAAAACAAAACTGAAGATGCTAAAATGAAAGAATGTGAGATAATGCAGAAAGAGGAAATGGAGGTATTAGAGTATGAGAAAGAGAGGCAGTTAATTAAAAATGAAAGGGATGTAGCTCACGCTAGGCTTGGGATGGCAAAGAAAATTAGAAGGGGATTAGGTCCCAAAAGTAGAGTGAGTTCTTACGATCAAGAGATATCTTAAGTTCCGAGGTTTGAAGGGTTTAGTAACCCTTATGATTCCAGGCGATATGGCTTACGTGACGACGGAACATATGATGAAAACAAATACCAAGGCCGGAGTATAAATGCCTGTAAATATGGAGACCTTCCAGATATGCCCAATTTGAATTTCATAGCAAAAATAGACTCGTTCGTCAAAGAAATGCAAAAAACCCAATATGGATATTGGGCCATTTGATGGTAACTCTCTTGACTTCAATAGATTTATGAGACGGTTTCGAACAAAGGTGCTAAAGTACTGTACTTCCTATGATGAACGTTTAAGCTATTTAGAACCATTTACCACAGGGGAAGCAAGAGAAAGAATACAAGAATTTATGAACATGAATCCAGAAAGGGGGTATGAGGCAGCCTTGAAAGAACTTGAGGATTGTTATGGGAATGATGACGTTGTGGCCCAGGCTTAGATCAAGAAGGCTCTGGATTGGCCGGTAATCAAGGGAAATGATGTGGGAGCTCTTGACAAATTTTCCATGTTTCTCACAGGATGTGAGTGTGATATATTAAGTATGGATTCAGTTAAAACTTTAGGAAGCCCAGACAACATGAGAAAACTTGTTATGAAATTGCCATACAACATGCAAGAAAGGTGGCGTGCAATTATCTGAGAGAAGGGTGATGCCTCTCAGCCTGTCGTATTTTCAGACTTGGCAGAATTCGTTTCAGGGGAAGCCAAGAAAGCCGGGCATCCCATCTATGGTATAGAACAACTAAACGAGGGTAAAACTAATAACCCTACGATGAGACAAGCATTTGCTACGCAAGTCCAAGAAAGGGAATTTGAGAGTAGTGATAAAGACTACGAAACTGGGTGTCATCAATGTAAGGGAAATCGTAGGCTACTTAACTGTAAAAGGTTTGAGGAATTTAAATATGAAAGGAAACTTGAGCTAATAAGGGAAAAGAATTTGTGCTTCTCATGCTTGAGAACTGGTCGTGGTAACGCTCAATGTTTCAAGAAGGAAATTTGCCTTGGGTGCAGTAAAGAACAACCCACAATAATGCATGTGGAGAGAGTGTTTGATGAGGTTAAGCAAAATACACCACTACAGGAGGAAATTGGGAATCTAAGGGCCGAATTGGAGAAGTTAAAAATTGAAAACATGACATTGCAAAGCAAGTCTGAGCAACAGGAAGCTCAAAATCCCGAAGAGGTGGTAAACATGAATGCAGAAGCTTGCCATACACTGTCAGAGGGAACAGACAAAATGGCCGCATTAGCAATCATATCAGTGAAAGTTAAATGGAAGAATAGTCACAAAACCGTACAGACACTGGCATTCTTAGATCCGGGTTCAACTACAACTATTTGTTCAGAAAAACTAATGAATGAGCTGGAGTGTAAGGGAAAGGGAATCACATGCAACTTGGAGACCCTTGATGGGAAAAGGAAAGTGAGCTTACGGCACTGAAGGATCTACAAATTGGTGCCTTGGTAGGAAGCGATTCGGTAGACTTAAAAAATGTTAATTCTTAGTACAATATAAATATTTGCAGAGGGTTTAGGTCTTCAAGGGAAGGCTTAAAAAAGAGGCCATGTTTATAGGACATAGAGATTCCACAATCCGATGGAGAAGAGAAACCGTTGATCGGAAACAATAACCTAGAAGCATATAGACCATTAAAAATTGTATCAGAAAAGGAATACTGCGCAGTTGCTGCCTAAACAAAAATAGTTTGGATAATATGGGGTCTACTGAAGTGATAGGGAGCGGATCTTGTAACATCTTACAAAACTGGTACGGCAGAACTTAGTAAGTATGAAGAACGGAAAGGGCTCGACCATTTGGTAAGAGAACTAATCAACATGGAGTTCCCAGAAAGGATAATAGATGATAAAGAGGAAAATTCATTTAAGGATAAGTTGTTTTTAAGTAAAGTTCAAGATTCAATGAAACTCGTGGATGGCAACTATGAGATGGAGTTACCATTCTATGACGAAGAGATGAAGATTCCAAATAATCAGAATTATGCAAAATTAAGACTGCAGCATCTTGAAAACAGGTTCAGCAAAGTCCAAGGATTTGCTTAAGAATATGCAGCTTTTATGGCAAAATCAAATGACAATGGATACGTTGAACAAGGGCCTGAATCAGAGATAAGCAGAAATGACGGAAAAGTATGGTATATTCCTCACCATGGAGTATACCACCCAAGAAAAGCGAAGTTGAGAGTGGTCTTTGATTGCTCAGCTGAGTACTTAGATGTCTCATTGAATGATCATTTACTTCACGGTCGAAATCTAGCTACCAAGCTTCACAGCATGTTACTCAGATTTAGAAAGGAACCTGTAGCCATCATGGGTGACAATGAGTCTATGTTGTATCAAGTTGAAGTTCCTGAGAAGCATAAGGATTTCTTACGTTTCTATTGGTGGCCAAAGGGTGACTCGAACATAGAACCTAAAGTGTTTAGAATGACTGTACATTGGTTTGGTGCAATATCTAGCCCAGCATGTGCTAATATGGCTTTGAGACAAGTCATAATAGACAGTCAGGGACTTTGTGATGATGAGGTAATGAAATGTATTAGTGAATACTTCTATGTTGATGATTGCTTGAAATCTGTACCAATGCCAAAGGGAGCTATTGATATGATCATGGATTTAAAAGATTTATGCAAAAGGGGAGGATTTAATCTAAGAGACTGCATCAGTAACAGAAAGGATGTACTGGAATTAATTCCAGTAGAAGATCGCATACATCAAATGGACACATTAGGTCTAGATATACAGACAGGTTTCCACGTGATGGAATTTGGAGGAGCCTCAGACTGAAAGGAGAGCCAGAGTATATTGTTATGAGCACCAAGGACATGTACCAACATTCCACCACTATGGTAAGGTCTGCAGCTGGAGAAACAGACCCCTTTGAAGTCAGAGCTCGCCTCAACCAGGGAAGTCCTTTGAGTTCCTTTTTGTCAACCTGCTGGACGTTCTGATCGATGAACTTCACCTGGAGCTACCCTGTGACATTATATATGCCGACGATGTCATGATTTGCATGGCCGACACAGAGGAACTGAACCAGATGTTAGAGGGTTGGAGAGTGAAGTTAGAGGATGGAGGACTCAGGATCAGCAGACTGAAGACGGAATGCATGAAATGCCACTTCGGAGAGGAGGATGAGCAGGAGGTGGATTTGGAAACAGACCTTTAGGTACTCAGAGAGACTGATATCTTCACGTACCTAGGGTCTATGGTGCAGCATGATGGAGGGATGGAAGCAGAGATTACAAATAGGATACAAAGTGGATGGAGGAATTGGAGGAAGTGTGTTGGAGTAATGACAGTTAAGAGAATGAGCATGAGGCTAAAGAGAAGGATCTACACTAGTGTAGTAAGACCCGCACTCACCTAGGGAGCAGAGACCTGGGCAACCACCAAGAGAGAAGAGGAGCGCCTGGATGTGAACGAAATGAGAATGCTGCGATGGACTCGCGGGGTGACAATAAGGG